GTTTTCCTTTCCCCCCCCTTCTATAACCAGTCATAGAGTAAGGATTCTATGACCAAAGGCTAAAGGTAACGTAGCTGATGTAGTTCAGCCTACACTCCATACTTAAACCCATCTATCTCATTGCGCAGCCCACCCTCCCGACGTAAACCCATCCATCTCATTGTTTATGTTGCAAATACTTATGATGAAAAAAAGAGCCCGAAAAGGCATGTACATAAAACTCGGGCCTGCAGTATGACGTTTTCTGTATGTATATATATATATATATATATATGGGTCCTATAGGGTGGTAGGACTAAGACTCTGATCTTGCAGCCCCTGCTATTGTCCCTTGAGCAAGACACCCTAAGCACTCAACCCTAAATCCCAAGTCAACAGCTGAACCTGCATTTGCAGCTTGGTGCCCAAAACCCTAAACCCATAGCCGGCCTTCTTGCTCCAGGTATCCACTTTGGAGTAGTTCGTGAGCGTGGTAAAAACCAACAACTGGTTCGCATTCCTGACATGCTACGTAGGTTTCCCAGCATCCAAGGTAAGAAAAAACGGGGTGCCCTCAGATTTTACTTGACCATGTATCTTAAACGTTAGACCTTGATCTGCAATATTGTAACTTGCACAAGTCAGGGGTTGTGCCCGACGTCTGGAAAAGGATGCAATCCTTGTCCCTAAATCTTAAACCCTAAACCCTAAACCCTGAACCCTAAACGCAATACCTTAGACTCTAAGCCCCTGAGGAAATGGAGCCCGACCGACCTTGGCAAGAGTGGCTTGGTTTAGGGTCTAGGGTTTCGGGTTCCCTAGATCCTGAAGCCCTACTAACCGTAAGCCCTAAACCCTGGACCCATACACCCTGTCATGGGACTCTACCCTGGACCCCAAGGTTGTACCCTTGGGTTTCGGGACCCTTTTTAACCCGTTTTAAAGATCCTCTAACGGAGTGTAAGGTGTCTAAGGAATATAAGGGCCATATTCGGAGTATTTTAACGGAACCTCTTCGGGGTACCTCCTTCGAAGTCCGAGTATGACGCCCTGAAACCCTACAACCCCTAAACCCTAGACCCTAAACCCCTAAGCATCAACTCTCAACACCTACAACTGGGCCGGTTCTCAGTAGGGAATGAGGAAATGAAGGCCCTGTATAATCCCTTAAAGGGTATCTGTTGGGTTTAGGGTTTAGGGTTTAGGGTTTAGGGCTTAGGGTTTAGGGTTTAGGGTTCAGGGTTTAGGGTTTAGGGTTTAGGGTAGGGCCCTAATTCCCTCATTCCCTACTAAGAACCAGGGGACAAAAAAAATCCTAAACCCTCAACGCTAGACCTTGAAACCTACAACCCCTAGAGTGCCTAATCACAAACTTCGAAACAGATACACTAGACCCGGGAGTAACCTAGCAATCAAAAGGGTACCCTTTTTGGCTTTTAAGGGGATTATAAGGGAACCCCAACCCCAAAAAAAGGAAAAAAAGGGCCTACGCCCGGTCCTAGTACAAAATTTGCGGCACGGGCTCCCCTTCATGCACGCAGTGGTGCACAGAATGCCTTGAACAAGGCTGAACCTGTTGGGCCCGCGGGCTTCGGGCTGATTTTGATTTGCCCTAAACCCTTAACCCTAAACCCTAAATCCTAATCCTAAACCCTAAACCCTAAAACCTAAACAACCTAAACCCTAAACCCTAGACCTAAACGTTTGAGGTGACAGGGGGCTGGGGTTTAGTCCTAAACTCTAATCCGTTCCCCCTAATATTAAACGGGTAGGGGGATGTCTTTATCCAAATGTCACGTTTGGGGTCTAAAGGGTTTATAGAGTCCAGGCTTCAGGGTTTGGAGAGGGAAGGAGGGGTTAGGGTTTAGGGAGAGGGAAGGAGACTTTAGGGTTTCAGGGTTTCGTGTTTGATTAGGTTTTGAATCGGTTTTAAAAAGGCGGGGTCGGTTTCGGCAGGATGTTCCGCAAAGTGTCTTTTATAATTAGGGGGGGTATGTTATATAAGGGGAAAGGGATTAAACCCTAAACCCTGGCCCTAAACCCTAAACCGTTGACGAGGCACCAGGAAGATGCGGCGAAGGTGGTGCGGAGGAACACGGCCAGCAGGAAGGTCTTCTGCTTGTTTGTCCATTCCTGGGTTCAGGGTTTGGGGTTTGGGGTTTGGGGTTTGGGGTTTAGGGTTTAGGGTGTAGGGTTTAGGGTTTAGGGCTTAGGGCTTAGGGCTTAGGGCTTAGGGCTTAGGGCTTAGGGCTTAGGGCTTAGGGCTTAGGGCTTAGGGTTTAGGTTTAGGGTTTTCTGGTCTAGGTTCTACAGTCTTATGGGCTATACCTATTAATTAAAAGTAATTACTACTAAACTGTAGGTAATTGGGGTTACAGGTCCTGCTTGTTTGTCCATTCCTGGATCTGGGGGTTTAGGGTTCAATGGTTTAGGGGTTTAGGGGTTTAGGGTTTTGGGGTCGAGGGTTAAGGGTTTAGGGTTTAGAGTTTAGGGTCTAGGGTTTATAGGGTATAGGGTTTCGGGGTTTAGGGGTTTAGGGTTTAGGGTGTAGGGTTTAGGGTCTAGGGTATAGCTTCGGCCCCCTCAACCCCAAATCCTATCGTCGAGGGCCAAGGCCTTCGGCGCGAGGATTGAGGTGACTAGGGGCTTCAGCACCAAGGCCCCTATGCCCTACGCCTTAAGAACCCGAAAGAAACCTCTAAATTCCTAAGCCCCTAAACCCTAAACCCTAAACCCCAAACCCTAAACCCTAAACCCCAAACCCTAAACCCGACACCCTTTAAAGCCAACTCAGGTAGCCTACCCGCTCTTTTGTTTACATGAGGGATCCGTATGCCGAAAGATTTCTGCTGCATCCTGAGCCCGATTCCCTGAACCCCAAACCCTGAAAATTGAACTCCGGGTTTAGGGTTTCGGGCGGGTTTAGGGTTTAGGGTTTAGGGTTTAGGGTTTAGGGCTTAGGGTTCAGGGTTTAGGGTTTCGGGTTTAGGGTTTACCGGTAAGCTTTAACCACCCTGAGCCCAGCCACAGGAGCATGGGGCCATTGCCAGATGACTTTGGTCCCGTAGAAGACTGACAGCTGCTGCCAGGAGAGGAGAACAAACCTAGGATGGCCAACCCGAAACCCTAAACCCCAAACCCTAACCCCTAAACCCTAGGCCCTATACCCTAAACCCTTAACCCTAGAACCCTGAACCCTGAACCCTAAACCCTACCTAGAAGCAGCAGAATTGTGGAGGCCCAGGTCATCCCACGCAGGTCTGTCTCCGCAGTTGCCCAATTCCGACTGATGTCGTGGATGGTTACCGGCGGGTCCTGTGAACCCGGCAATTACTCTGGTTGACGGTCTAGGGTTTAAGGTTTAGGGCGCTCCCTACTGTTCAGCCCGTCTCGCCCCTTTCTGCCGCGAACTCGGCCTCACTCGCTGTCACTCTCTTGCTTTTAAGATACGCCTGTGTTTTCGCCGGCCAGTCTTTTCACTGTCGCTTCATTCCAACTGCCTGGTTGACCTTGGGTGTCTTTGGCAGCTCAGAAATAACATAGATTGTGTCACCTTTCTGGTTTTTGCTTTCCGATGTTCGTTGTGACATTCACTCTTTGCTCCTTGCCCTGCTCCTGTCGTTCCATCTGGTGCCATGGGTTTGGGATCATGAAGGCGGGCGGGTGTATCCTTAAGCCAGAGAGCCCAAAAAGCTGCATATCAGGAATATACCTTAAAGTAAACGGGATCCTTAGAATGATGTGAGGTCTATTTGTTGATTTAGGAGTATTGGTCTCTTTGGGAAGCTCTTCCCCCTAGAACTTACTTCTCCCATAACCAAGGAAGAACAAGACTCAATTTGTTCCTACTAAATGCGGAACCCAACAAACTTGAAGTTCAACGATGGGCTCTTTAGGGTTTAGGGTTCAGGGTTCAGGGTTTAGGGTTTAGGGTTGGGCGTCCTCTCTTTCGTAGCAGTCGGGAAAGGCAGTCTGCAGCCTCTGCAAGACCTCGTGGGCCCTCTTTCCTTGGCAGCCCAGTAACCACATTATCGTAAGGCCGCACCCTTTGTTGGGGGTTGGTTACTTTGTTAGGGAGCCTTGAACCCTAAACCCTAAACCCTAAACGCTAAACGCTAAACCCTAAACCCTAGACCCTAAACCCTAAACCCTAAACCCTAAACCCTAAACCCAGAACCAACCAAAAAAGGGCAAACGGGTACCACTGGGCTACCAAGTTACCCATGCCGGCATGCTTGAAGTTGTTCAGCTTTGGCTGCATCCTGGCTGCAACCTCCATCGCTTTTGGGGTTTGAAGGCCTAAACCCTAAACTCTAAGCCCTAAACCCTAAACCCTAGTTGAGTAGCTTTGGTGCGGCTGATAAGTCGTGAAAAAAATGGCTGCTTCGCGCCGGACCTGACTAATGCTGGTACTTGCGGTATCTGGGATCCCGTATGACGGTAAGGCCCTTGACTTTGAAACCGAATTTCGGTTTAGGGTTTAGGGTTTAGGGTTTGGGGTTTAGGGTTTAGAGTTTAGGGTTTAGGGTGTAGGATTTCGGGTTTAGGGTCACTTGCCAAACTACTCGCCGTGGCCAAATCAGGTGTTTTACGGTTGGGAGGGCGCACCAAAGGTACTCAAATACAAGCTGCCTTCACCCTAACGCCTAAACCCTAAATCCCTAACCCCCTAAGCCCCTAAACCCTAAACCCTACCCTAGACCCTAAACCCTAAACCCTAAACTCCGCACCTTGTGGGTGTGAACATCGGCCGCCACCTCGACCGTCTGAATCAGCAGGATCCGCAGCAAAAGGAAGGCACCGAGGAGGCAGATGTTGTTGACCTCAACCGCGCAGGGGTTAGGGCTTAGGGCTTAGGGCTTAGGGCTAAGGGCTCAGGGCTTAGGGCTTAGGGCTTGGGGTTTAAGATTGACCTCAACCGCGGCCCCAGACTGGATTCTGGGTCTATAGAGTTTAGGGTTTAGGGCTTAGGGTTACCCTAAGCCCTAAACCCTAGCGTGCTGCTCCCACAAGCCTGACGATCTTAAGGGCCCGGCGATGTAGATGGGAGCAAAAGCGAAGTCAGCTTGCGCCTCCTCGGCCACCGTCATGACCTCACGCTTTTTGGCGCTTGCGGCTTAGGGTTTGGGGGTTGGGGGTTTAGGGTTTAGGGTCTAGGGTCTGGGGTTTAGGGTTTAGGGTTCAGAGGTCAGCATTTGGAGTTGGTTGTAGGTGAAGAACATTCGAGTTCATGAATTCTGAATATGTGTTGGGACGTTTACCTTATACTACAGTCCTCGACAGGGATTCTAAAATAGGGGGTACTAGAATCCCTGCTAAGGACTGTGAGTATACGTGGGAACTTCCCAACCCTAAACCCAAAACCTTAAACCCTAAACCCTAAGCCCTAAACCTCAACCCCAAACCCTAAACCCTGAACCCTAAACCCTAAACCCTAAACCCTAAACCCTGGAGCCTTCTCGCTGGGTTTGTAGTACTGGGACGTGAAGGTCGCGTCGTTCATGAAGACGAACCAGGCATCCTCCCCAGCTCTTTGTGAAAGTTGGGTTTAGGGTTTAGGGTTTAGGGTTTAGGGTTTAGGGTTTAGGGTTTAGGGTTTAGGGTTTAGGGTTTAGGGTTTAGGGTTTAGGGTTTAGGGTTTAGGGTTTAGGGTTTAGGGTTTAGGGTTTAGGGTTTAAGGTTCGTTTTTGGGCCTCAGAACCCTCAACCTTGCTCCCCTAATTTTGAAGGGTTTAGGATTTAGGGTTTAGGGACTGAATCCTGAACCCGAAACGCCCTAAACCCTAAACCCTTAACTCTAAACCACAAACTCAACCCGAACAAACCCGCCTAAACATTAAACCGAATGGAGCCCTTCGAGCTCAGACCACAAACCCAACCCTTTAGGGTGCGGCCTGAGTCCAATGGACGCGCACGTAGGGTTTAGGGTTTAGGGTTTAGGGTTTAGGGTTTAGGATTTAGGGTTTAGGGTTTAGGGTTTAGGTTTTAGGGTTTAGAGTTTAGGGCAACCCCGCTTTCTGCACGGCCGTCCTCCAGCGTCGCTGTGACCAGGATGATCCAAGCCAGCGCCTCCCCGAAGACGACAGACCGCAGCCTCAAGCAACTTTTTTAGGGTTTAGGCTTTCGGGTTTAGGGTTTAAGGTTTAGGGTTTAGGGTTTGAGGCTTAAGGTTTAGGGTTTCGAGTTTAGGGTTAGGTTTTGGGATTAACCGTCTAAGCCTGAAGGAATCAATGAGTCAGCCCCAGGGGGAACTACGTTAGAGACCCTGAACCCCAAACCCCGAAGCATGAAACGAGCATTCGCCCGGTTCGAGAACTACTATTGCTTAGCTAAGAACCCCAAAAGCAACTAAGAAAGAAAACCATAATCTCTATACTAATGGCTTAAGTAAGAACCCCCCTCAAAGAAAAAATACTCCACATACTACCCTTATAAGGAAGCATACGTTTCAATTCTTTGGGGTTCTTCAACAAACCGTCGATCCTATCATACCCTCATAAGGAGGCACACTTTTGACTTGTTTGGGGCCTGGGGAGGTGCTTTAACAGATCGTCGCAAATCTATATACTACCCTTGTAAGGCAGCATACCGTTTATCCTTTGGGGGCTCTTCAACAGATCGTAGGTCTTAAAATTTCCCATTTATAAGGAAGAATCCCTTTGGGGGTTCCTAAACAAACCGTCGATCCTTTGGGGGGGGGGGGGGATTCTTAAACAAGTCGCAGAGCAGTAGAGCCCTAAACCCTAAACCCTAAACCCTCCCTAAACCCTCCCTAAACCCTCCCTAATTAAACCCTAAACCCTAAACCCTAAACCCTAACCCTAAACCATATGGTTCTTAAACAAATCGCAGAGAAGTAGAGCGGCCTCTTGGCTAGGGTCTGCTCCTTTGGAAAAATGATCTGCCAGCGCCGGATCCTCGGATGCAATGGCTGAGATGGTCTAGGGTTTAGGGTTTAGGGTTTAGGGTTTAGGGTTTAGGGCTTAGGGTTTAGGGTTTAGGGCTTAGGGCTTAGGGGTTTTCGAGAGAATGCGGCTTCGCACAGCCATCAACCCTCCAAGCACTACGCCACGAAGCCCTAAACCCTCAACCCTAAAACTCGCAGCCCTAAGCCTAAAACCCTAAAACCCTAAAGCCCTAAAACCCTAAAACCCAAAAAACCTAAAATCCCTAAAACCCCTTTCTCAACCAAGAGGGCTCGGGCTTCAAGACTTTGGGGAGGGATGCGAGGGCTTTCCATGGACCTTGGGGGGGACTCCGGGGAGGGGGGGCTTGAGGGTGTTGTAAAGAAAATCATCATCATATCAACATATATATATATACATATATAGAAAACGTGCCTGTATTCCGACGCACTCTCCAGAAAAATATACATAAATATATATATATATATACACACATATATATATATATATGTGTATACAGACAAATACTTAGACTCGGTGCCTCGAAAGGGAAAGGGATACAGACATATAGAGGGTGCTTGTCGGGCGCTGGGCCGACGGCCGGCGGGTAGGGGATCCCCAACGGTGCCCTTTATCTCAAGATCGCCTCTCAGAGCCTAAGCCTAAACCCGATAAGTGAACCCTTTTAGGGTTTAGGGTTTAGGGTTTAGGGTTTAGGGTTTAGGGTTTAGGGTTTAGGGTTTAGGGTTTAGGGTTTAGGGTTTAGGGTTTAGGGTCCCTAAACTGGCCCTAAACCCTCGTCGGACCACAAGCCAGGGGGCAAGTAGTGCCTCACCATGTACCCGGCTGCAAAAAGCGAAGCACCCGGAATGGTACACCACATCCTTGGTGGCCCCCAGTAGGGTAGTTGCATGGTCCAGGAGTATGGGGTGTAGGGTAGTTACATAGTCCCTTACGCGCGCTTCAAAGGGTACCCCTTATACGCCCCTCACATACCCTAATACAAATTAAGGGCCCATACATCAGAAATCTTTAAAGGAGGTAAGGAAGGCCTCAACTAGCCTGAGACATGGAAGTAAGGGTACGCCCCATCTTTGGGGGTTGACTAGTTGATCAAGGGAACCTAGAGTCCAAAAAAAAATGGGCAAACAGGCTGTGGAACCTAGGACAACAAAAAGCGAGCAAAAGGGTTTAGGGTTTAGGGTTTAGGGTTTAGGGTTTAGGGTTTAGGGTTTAGGGTTTAGGGTTTAGGGTTTAGGGTTTAGGGTTTAGGGTTTCCATTGGGCTACCAAGCATCGCCATGAAAGCGTCGCCAGCAACCACTTGCCACTTGTCATGGATGTCCGGAATTGGCAGCGGTGCCGGATCGACGGATGCCTCAGAGAAACCCTTGGGTTGTTTAGGGATTAGGGTTTAGGGTTTAGGGTTTCGGGTTGCGGGTTTAGGGTGGCAGCTGCAAGCATACTTGGGGTTCAGGGTCTTACAGCTTGGGCTTACGGCTTAGGGTTTTGCTGAACAAGCATACTGAAGGGGCCTGAACAAATTAGAACAGGGTTTTGGGGATTCATAGTATGGAATACTGTTAGTAGTCTTTCCGACCCCTAAACCCTAAACCCCTACACCCCTAAACCCCTAAACCCCTAAACCCTAACCCCTAAACCCTAGACAGCCAAGGTGCTTTCACAACGGTCCCAGTCGGCTCCTCATCTGAGTCTTCGCCTCGAAGCAGAGCGAAAGGCTCCGATCCCTGGCAGACCAGTGTTCCGGCCATCAGGCGCGAGAGAGCCCCCTAAACCCTAAACCCTAAACCCTAAACCCTAAACCCTAAACCCTAAACCCTAAACATCTCCGACTGGGTTGCTCTTCAGGAACAAACTTAAAGACAGCCACCAAGGCGAAGGTTCGGGTGCAATCTTAAGCGGCCCTGGCGGCTTTTAGGCCTTTGGCGTGAGGGGTTTGGGGTTAAGGGTTCAGGGTTTCGGGTTTAAGAGTTTGGGGTTTATTGCTTAGGATTTCGGGTTCAGGGTTTAGGGCTTGGGGTTTGGGGTTTGGGGTCTGCGGTCTGGGGTTTGGGGTTGTAGCTTTCAGGCTTCTGGCTTCTGGGGATTAGGGCTTAGGGCGCGGGGGGGATGTAGGCAACCCTTCCCGCGTAAACCTAAACTGCTGTCCTCCGTGCAGGTGTCGCGGCGACGGCGTGAGTTCTGGATTGCTCCCCCTAAACCCTAAACCCTAAACCCTACACCCTAAACCTTAAGCCCTATCCTAAGCCCTAAAGGCCCTAAACCCCAATTCCCGAAACCATGAAATCCTCATACAGTCGACTCCAGAAGCCACCCCACCCCCCCTTCCCCCCCCCCAAAAAAAAAAAGACAGACAAGAATTAGGGATTGCCCGTATGAGGAAGAATGCAAGAATATCTTGCGGCGTGGGGGTCGCCCTAAGGGTTAATTGGGCCACTCTCGGCATTGAGGGTTGGGGTTAGAACCTCAAGTTCCTATGGCTTCACGCAGCTTTAGGCTTCCTATCGCGGTTTTGGAGGGACTCCTGCGGTCAGAAACCTTTTTTCATGGACATGTTACGGGTGAGGGGTTTGCGATTCATACGGGGTTTAGGGTTTAGGGGTGGTAGCGTTTCTAGGTTGCGGGCTTAGATGGGGACTTTGAAAGTCCCTCATGCACAAGAGTCGGGCTTATGGGGTCCCCAATTGCCTTTCATGCTTGAGAATTTTGACGGAGGGCTTGTACCCTCCAAGCAGGGGGTGTTAACCTGCTGCTGGCCAGTTGCAGGGTTTCGGTGTGGGAGCTACACGTCCTAACCCTCTAACCCTCACCCCAAACTGCCAGTCAGCTTTTTCCCTGGCAGGGACCGTTGTCGGTCCTGACCGTCCTAAATCCTAACCTAGCCTGGGATCTGAACCTTCTGCTTCTTCGTAGGGAATTCCGGGAAGTCAGGGGTTGTTTACGGGTGCATGGAAAACAGGGGTTCTACCCACTAAACCCTAAACCCTAAACCCTAAACCCTAAACCCTAAACCCTAAACCCTAAACCCTAAACCCTAAACCCTAAACCCTAAACCCTAAACCCTAAACCCTAAACCCTAAACCCTAAACCCTAAACCCTAACCCTAAACCCTGAACCCTAAACCAGGGGGCGAATTAGAAGCTAGGTTGGCCCCAGAAACCCTCTGAAAAACGTTCCTCAACAGGATCCTCGCAAACCCAAGATAACATATACCAAGCGCCTACCTAGGAAAGTACAACACCTACTTGTCTGATGCCCTACTAGGAAACGGTAGGTCAGATCCCGGTGTACATTATCAGCCATGTCGCATTCCCGACGGGCTTTTCGGGCCCACCGACCCGCGGGCAGGGCCCGTTAGGAAAGGCAGGGTGTCGCCATAGGTTTAGGGTTTATAGGGTATAGGGTTTAGGGTTTAGGGCTTCGGGTTTAGGGTTTAGGGTTTAGGGTTTAGGGTTTAGGGTTTAGGGTTTAGGGCTAGGACACCCAGACCAAAAGAAACCCAGCCAACCGGAAAACTTGCACGGCGCTCAGCCTGCTCGCTTCTGGCAATAACACAAGGAACTCTTCCTCACATCGGGGCTCCATGGCTGCCAGGGGCCTGGCACCCTAAACCCTAAACCCTAAACCCTAAACCCTAAACCCTAAACCCTAAACCCTAAACCCTAAACCCTAGGTCCTTGCTTAAGGGAGCCCCAAGGACTGCATTAGCGGACCCCGCAAGTGGAAGCCTGTGGGAGGCCCTAGGGCGGCCACAGGGAGTATATCGTGGTTTAGGGTTTAGGGTTTAGGGTTTAGGGTTTAGGGTTTAGGGTTTAGGGTTTAGGGTTTAGGGTTGAGGGTTTAGGGTTTAGGGTTTAGGGTTTAGGGTTTAGGGTTTAGGGTGAAGTCCTCTTGTGGCCACCGCAACTGACATCGAAGGGTAGTTGCGTGGTCCCTTAGTATAAAACCCTAAAACCCTAAAACCCTACACCCTCAACCCTGAAGCCCTAAACCCGACCCCGTCGGAGCTGACAGCGCAGCTCGCAAGCCCCAAACCCCCTTCTTGGAGGTTCACGGTACTCATTAACCAAATATCACTGCACTTGTAACTGTACTTATAACCACTTAAGGGGCGTATAAGTGGGTTACAGGTACAGCTATAATTGTAAACGCCCTCCTGACTCCTAGGGATTGGGGTTTAGGGTTTCGAGTCTAGGGTCCAGGGACTGGAGTTTAGGGTCTAGCGTTTGGGGTTTAAGGCTTCAAGGCTCCGAACTCCAAACCCTTAACACCCACCAGAGGCCCCAGTTTAGGGTTTAGGGTCTGGGGTTTAGGGTTTAGGGTTTCGGGTTTAGGGTTTAAGGTTTAGGGTTTAGGGTTTAGGGTTTAGGGTTTAGGATTTAGGGTTTAGGGTTTAGGGTTTAGGATTTAGGGTTTAGGGTTTAGGCTCTAGGGAAGCCCCTCCCACGAAGCCTCGTCAGAGGAGGTCCTGAGGCCGTGAGGCAAGACAAAAAAGGGTTTAGGGTTTAGGGTTTAGGGTTTAGGGTTAGGGTTGAGGGTTGAGGAATGAGGGTTGAGGGTTGAGGTTTGAGGGTTGAGATTTGAGGGTTGAGGGTTGAGGGTTTAGGGTTTAGGGAGCGGGCTCTCAGGGTTTCTTGCAGGGTTTTGGGATTTCGGGGTTGCAGTACTGAGCTTCAACAACGAAGAGAAACTCTGAACTTATTTTGTACCCTTCTCCCTGTCAGAACCAATACCCTAGCCACAAAAAGGTTTAAGTAACCGATTATAACTAGTAACTAGTAGGATTCCATAAACCCCAAAGTTAACGGCCCTAAAACCTAAAAAACTAAACACAAAAAACACGAAAAACCCGACAATCCAAAAACCCTAAAACCCTAAAGCCCTAAAACCCTAAAACCCTAAAGCCCTAAAGCCCTACAACCTTAACACCCTAAAACCCTATAACCCCTGTCTTAAACTCTACCCAGTCCCTAAGGAAGCCATGGAACTAAACCCTAAACCCTAAACCCTAAACCCTAAACCCTAAACCCTAAACCCTAAACCCTAAACCCGGCCTCGTCTGTGCTGGCCATGTCGAAGGTCTGCGGCCCGCCAGTCGATGGAGGCGCCTTTGGAAGTTGGACTTAGGGGTATAACAGTTCAGGGTTAAGGGTTAAGGGTTTAGGGTAGAACAGTTAAGGGTCCAGGGTTTAGGGTATAGCAGTTAAGGGTTAAGGGTTAAGGGTTACGGGTTCAGGGTTCAGGGTTAAGGGTTAAGGGTTAAGGGTTAAGGGTTAAGGGTTAAGGGTTAAGGGTTTAGGGTTTAGGGTTAAGGGTTTAAGGGTTTAGGGTTTAAGGGTTTAAGGGTTTGGGGGTCAAGGGTTTGGGGTTTAGGGGTTTAGGGAATAGGGTTTCCCTATGCATGTCCTAGAACCGGGGGAAACCCCCGCAAAACCGCGAAAACACCACGATGCTCATTATCGGAACCGCCAAGAAAGAAAAAAACTACTTGGGGACAGCGCCTTGTGTGTAAAGGGTTTGGGCTTCGAAAGCCTGGCTCCAGTGCTGTTGTTATGGGTTGAGGGTTTACGGTTGAGGGTCTAGGGTTTCGGTTTAGGGAAGAGGGTTTCCCTATGTGGGCATGTCCTAGAACAGGGAAACCCGCAGAAAACCTACAATACCGCAATCCTTATTATCGGAGCCGCCAAAACGATTATACTCGGGAAACCACCATGTGGCTTCAGCGCCTTGGGTTTAAAGGGGTTTGGGCTTCGAATGCCTGGGTCACTGCGGTTGTTCTGGGTTTAGGGCTTGAAGGGGTTCGGGTTTAGGGGTTTAGGGCCTAGGGTCTAGGGTTTAGGGTTTAGGTTTAGGTATTAGTGTTTAGGGTCTTGGGTTGGCTGCTGGCGCTTCTAGGGCACATATTTTTTTGGGGGGTTATAGGGGTGTAATTCGGGTTTAAGGTGCTCTGCATTAAACCTAACACCCAAGGCATCTTTGCCGGGCTTAGGGTTCGGGATTAAAGGGTTCCCACGAGAGCTTAGGGTTTAGGGTTTAGGGTTTAGGGTTTAGGGTTTAGGGTTTAGGGTTTAGGGTTTAGGGTTTAGGGTTTAGGGTTTAGGGCTTCGGGGCAAAGATCCCTAAGCCCGAAACTCTGAACCCTACACCCTCGCAGGGTAGGTAGATGGTCCCTTAGTATGTGCCCTTAAAAGGGGACCCCTTAGAAGCCCCTTCTATGCCGTATACAACCCAAGGGCCCACACATCAGGACCCTTCTAACGGAGGCAAGGGACCATATTAAGGGCCCATGTAGCTAGCCTTAGATATGCCCTACAAACCCTACAACCCCTAAACCCTAAACCCTATACCCTATACCCTACTAGGTTGCCCAGTAACCTAGGATGAAAAAGGGTGCCCTTTTTGCTTAAAGGGGTTTATAAGGGAAACCAAACAGGGAATAAGGGTTCTACTTTACTGGGCATCCTAGCCTACAAACCATACCCTACAAACCCTGAACCCCGTACCCTACAAACCCTGAACCCTAGAAAGCCTGAACCCTAGACCCTACAAACCCCGAACCCCGAACCCTGAACCCCGAACCCTGAACCCCAAACCCCAAACCCCAAACCCTAAACCCTAAACCCTACAAACCCCCGAACCCTAGAGGGCATTCCTGAGGGCCCGTCCGCCAACCTTGGCACAGCTTGATCCCGGGCCATGCGGGCGGCCGCACCTGTCAGCAAAAAGAGGTTTAGGGTTTAGGGTTTAGGGTTTAGGGTTTAGGGTTTAGGTTTTAGGGTTTAGGGTTTAGGGTTTAGGGTTTAGGGTTTAGGGTTTAGGGTTTAGGGTTTAGGGTTTAGGATTTAGGGTTTAGGATTTAGGGATTAGGGTTTAGGGTTTAGGGTTTCGGGTTTAGGGTTTAGGGTTCAAAGTTTCATTAGGGTTTAGGGTTTAGCTTTAGGGTGTAGGGAGCTCAGGCCCTTTCAACAGTGCATCAAGCGACCCAAAACCCTGTAGGGCATGCTTAGGTTACGGATGTTCTTGTGCAAGGCCGCGTCAAATCTCAGACGGCCTCCGTTATAGGGTTTAAGGGTTTAGGGTTTCAGGTTGGTAGGGTTTAGGGAAGTAGGGTTTAGGGTTTAGGGTTTAGGGTCTAGGGTCTAGGGTCTAGGGTCTAGGGTCTAGGGTCTACGGTCTAGGGTCTAGGGTTTAGGGTTTAGGGTTTAGGGTTTAGGGTTTAGGGTTCAGGGTTTCCGATTTGTAGGGTTCAAGGCATGTAGCGGCCCCAAAACGACAGAAGGCCCTCATAATCTCGACGCTAAACCTAGGGTTAAGAGCCAGCGCTTTCGCTAGCTTAACCCCTAAACCCTACACCCTAAACCCTAAATCCTAAGGGCTAGAGATCTCCGCCTCTTTCCCTTGGGCCCCCCGCCGGTGACAATCCTGGGCTCTCCCCTCTCCTCCGTGCTCTCCAACTTCTTGTCGAGAGCCCTGGCCAGGGCGTAAGGGCTTTCGTGCTTAAGGTCATGGGTTTCCCTCCCTCCGCTCTATACCCCCCCCCCCCCCCGGTTCCCGCCTTGAAGAACCTTACTTAGGCTTAATTATGCCTAAATAGCCTTTTTGATGAAAAGCGCTAGAAGCCTCCTGTTGGGGGAGGGTTCAGGCTTCAGGGTTCATTCTTCAGGGTTGAGGCTTGAGGCTTGAGGCTTGAGGCTTGGGGCTTGGGGCTTGAGGCTTGAGGCTTGAGGCTTGAGGCTTGAGGGTTGAGGGTTGAGGGTTGAGGGTTGCCCTGAACCCTGAACCCTTTCTAGAAGGCCCATGGTCTATCCACTTCAGAGTCTCTACAAGACTGCGTTGTCCAGCAACCTAAGAACCAAAAAAAAGAAGTGCCCTACTTGGTTTAAAGCGGAAGGAGTCCGATCTTTCCTTACACAGAAATCAGCATACTACTGGGCACCCTGAACTTGGAGTAGGCACCCGCAAGAGGACATCTTCATCCATCCTGAGGCACAGAAACGTACTATCAAAGGCCCTCTCTGTAAGGAAATGGCATTGCAAATAATTTGGGCTCTTGCACTAAGCGGAAGACCCTAAAACCCTAAAACACTAAAACTCTAAAACCCTCAAAGCCTCAAAGCATAAACTCTAAACCCTCAACCCTAAACCACACACCCTAAACCCTAAACCCTAAGGGCCCTAAACCCTAACCCCTAAACCCAATCCCTGCTCTTGCATCACAAACCTCAAGGACCATACGGCCTCTGCCAAAGGCGTCGGAAGACACCCGAACCTCACCACGCCTTTCCTAAGCGAACCTGGTTTAGGGGATTCGGATTTAGGGGTTTGCGTGTTTAGGGTTTAGGGGTCAACCATACAGTTACTGGCTCGTCAGGTGCGCTATCAGTATTTATGCATTAGTAGGAAAACCTAGGCTCTTGGTTCCCATCTCCCTCCCAGAAACTCTAAACCCTAAACCCCAAACCCTAAACCCTAAACCGCTTTCCCTAGTAGACCAAATCGCGCACAGGCCGGCCCAGAGTATGAGGGCGGTGGATGGTCGTCGTCCTCGGCCTCCCGACAGTCTTACATGATCTTTGGACGGATTGATGAAGGTTTAGGGTGTGAGGTTTAGGGGCTTCTAAAGCCTCAAGACCTGAAGGGTTCAACGTTCTGCGGCAGCGCACTACTACATCCCAATACAGACAGACAACGGGCCTGACCAGGAACCCTGAACCCCCAAAACCCGGAACCCTGAACCGTGTAAGCCCGTGATCCTCACACCCCAAGGCGTGCAAACAAAGACTCAAAAAGCGCCAAACAGCTCGTTAGGGAGACCGTCTGCTTTTTGGACCTCTAAACCCTAAACCCCCAAACCCTAAACCCTAAACCCTAAACCCCTAAACCCTAAACCCCTAAACCCCTAAACCCTAAACCCTAATTCCCTAAACCGCACCCAGAAGCCAGAGCCATCCTCGTCCAAAAAGTCGTTCAGCGACTCGCGGCCGACTCCCTCGAAGTCCCACTCATCCTCCTTTCTTCGTGTTACGCTGGTTTAGGGTTTAAGGTTTAGGGTTTAGGGTTTAGGGTTTAGGGTTTAGGGTTTAGGGTTTAGGGTTTAGGGTTTAGGGTTTAGGGTTTAGGGTTTAGGGTCTAGGGTCTAGGGTCTAGGGTCTAGGGTGTAGGGTTCAGGGCTGGTTAGTAGAGAATTAGAGAATGAGGTACAGCTAACACGTGACCTAAAACGTGAAAAGGGTTACACATCGTACCTTATTCCGAAATTCCATACTAAGAACTAGCTTTTGGGACCGGAGGCTGATTTGGTTTAGGAGTTGTAGCATTTAGTGAATTAAGTGTTTCCGGGCTTAGGGTTCCGGACGTTAGGTCGGGGCTCGAGGGCCACGAGCCCTGGACACCCAAAAGCAGCTCTTTTAAACACGACTTACTAGCCTGAAGCCCAAACTCCTGAAGCCGGAGCCCTAAACTGAAAAGGCCTAAGCCCCAAACCCAACGCCCCCTAAATCCCAACCCCCTAAACCCCGAAGCCCCTAAACTCAAAAAACAAGCGCCAAAACCCCCAAACCCCTAAACCCTAAACCCTAAAACCCTAAACCCCTAATCCCTGAACCCTCTCCTTCAGCTTCTCGTAGTCGCGGGGGGTCCGCGTCATGAGTCGGCCGATGCACCTTGGGCACGGGCTTAAGGGTTAAGGGTTAAGGGTTAAGGGTTAAGGGTTTAGGGTTAGGGTTTAGGGTTTAGGGCTTAGGGTTTAGGGCTTAGGGTTTAGGATGTTTTTTTTTGCTAGGGCCCTGCGTGCTTTTGCTTCATCGCGCGCTTCGGCGCCAACTCAAAAGAGGAACTGCAAGCCTGGAGGTACCTATTGCTCATGACTTCTATCCGATATGGGAAGTGCATACCTCTACGCCGACCTTGGTTCAGGATTCTATCTTTGTAGGGAGAGTGAAATGCCACGTTATGGGTTGGATCATTCATGTCTGACTGAAACACTGCTACGAACTTTGTGAACCCTAAACCCTGAACCCTAAACCCCTTGTGTGGCGCACCCAGTCAAGGCGGCCTGTGGGTACTGCGGGGTGTCTGATTGGGGATCCCGCAGCAAGAGGCTTTGATGCCTATGGCCCTTCTGAGAAACCGAAGGTATTGACCCCTAAACCCTAAACCCTGAACCCTAAACCTTAAACTCTAAACCCTAAACCCTAAACACTAAACCCTGAGCAGCCGTGAAAAGACCTGTAGACTAAACTGCGAATGTGCTGGGTTTAGGGTTGAGGGCTCAGGGTTTAGGGTTTAGGGTTTAGGCTTTAGGTTTTAGGGTCTAGAATCCTCTCGAGGAGAGGCAGATGCGAGCAGTCGAAGCACCAGCAACTGGAGAGTGATGCGGGGTCGGCCCTTTGAGCTGCTGCGCAAAACCTCGACGGATCGGCGCAGCTGCGGATACCCGCCCGACGTCGACAAGCAGGCAACGTTGGCGACTCCGCCTTCCAGCGCATCGATGAAGCTTTAGCGCATGGCGCTCTCCCATGCACGAGGACCGGCTCAGGCACGCCCGCCTGGGTGATGGGCAGCCCCAGGTGGTCTATCTGGTTTAGGTTTATAGGGTTTCGGGTTTCGGGGTTAGGGTTTGGGGTTTATAGGGTTTCGGGTTTAGAGGGTTGAGGGTTTGTATAGGGCCGAGGGTTTCAGGCCTTGTAGGGGTTAGAGTTTAGGCTTTAAGGTTTGTCATCACTATTTGTTTGAATCACCCCATGCTTGCAGAATCCCTGTTCTGTTACGGTTTGTAGTATTCGTTTAAAAAAAGACTAACTATACGTATGATGAACAAATATGCTTTTTACCAAGTTACCAAGTTTTGAGAGAAACCCTAAACCCTAAACCCTAAAACCCTAAAACCCCAAAACCCGAAACCCTAAACCCTAAACCCTAAACCCTAAACCCTAAAACCCCAAAACCCTAAACCCTAAACCCTAAACCCTACACCCTACACCCTAAACCCTAGACCCTAGACCCAAATCTAATAATTCAATACACCAATTTTCCTCGTTCGGCTCGGTCAGCCAAACAAAAGCCATTGGAGGCCCCTTGCAAGCCCTGCAAGCCCTTGAAAATGCTTTGATGGAGGCTCTTAAGGAAGCTTTTGGAGGCCCCGAAATCTGAGAAAAAAAACTCATGGGTCATTTCTGCAATCAAAACTTGTCCACTACTCTAAAACCTAAACCCTAAACCCTAAACCCCAAACCCTAAACCCTAAACCCTGCAACACCCTTGAACGTTGGTCGCCTCTTGGAGTTCCCCAAAAGGCCCCGGAAGTTCTTGGAGCTGCAGGAAGCCCTTGAAGACTCCCTAAACCTGCTATCCCTAAACCCCAAACCCCAAACCCCAAACCCTAAACCCTAAACCCAAAACCCTAAACCTGGTTTCCCTAAACCCTGAACCCTAAACCCTACACCCGAAACCTTTTGGGGGCCGCTGGAGGCCCTTGCGCTTGGACGCTTTTGAGACCCTTGGAGGTTCTTTGGAAGTCTTGGATCCCAAAACCGAAGTACTAAACCCTAAATCTTGAATCCTAAATCCTAAGCCGTAATCCTAAACCGTAAACCCTAAATCCTATCCTAAATCCTAACTCAATCCTAAATCCCAAATCCTAAGCCCTGCTGCTAAACCCTAAAAGCTACCAAATTAGGAGCACTGGCTGATAAAGGTTTAAGTTTACAAATAGGCAGGGAGGGTTTAGGGTTTAGGGCTTTGGTTTATGGGACTCTTGGAGTTTGTTGAGCCCTTCTGGGTCAATATCTAGGGGGTTGTACCCTTGGATTTTGGGGTCCCTTTTTAAGATCTTTGAGGGAATATACGGGTCATACCAGGAGCATATTAAGGGGAACCTTTAGGCGTACAAGCTTAGCGGTACGACTCTAAATCCTTTGAAAATGGGCCGAAATCTCGCTTAAGGCCGGCACACTGTCGGGGGCCCAAGCAGCGTCAGAAGCGGAATGATCACACCAAAGCCCTAAACCCAGCGAAACCCTAGACCCTGAACCCTAAACCCTAAAGCCTAGCCTAAACCCTGAACCCTGACCCCCTAAAGCCTAAACCCTAAACCCTAAACCCTGCACCCCTAAACCTCTAAATCCTAAACCCAAAGCCCTAAACCCTAAATCCTAAACCCTACTTCCCAACTCTGCGCAGTTCATCTGCACTCTCCATTCAAGCCCGCGACCCACACAAGCCGGCCGCTGCTAGGAGCAGCTGCGAGCCGAGCCAGGAGAAGGAAGGCCTCACCGGTTTAGGGTTTAGGGTTTAGGGTTTAGGGTTTAGGGTTTAGGGTTTAGGGTTTAGGGTTTAGGGTTTAGGGTTTAGGGCTTAGGGCTTAGGGTTTAGGGTTTAGGGTTTAGGGTTTAGGGTTTAGGGTTTGGGGTTACCGGTTGTAGGGTCTTTTGAGGTTCGGGGCTTAGGGTTTGGGAACCTTTACCTGCTGCATTCCTGAGCTACGTCGGCGCCCAACGATCGGCAGAGTGTTGTTTTGTGGGGCCTTGGGATGTGCTGCTGAATTTGCTTATTTTCGACCTTTTCGCAGTCTCTATAACTTACATTTACATCTATATCATCTAAATCTTTACTTTAATTTGGTTAGATAAATGTAGCTTTTGTGGAGATTTGGCGCACGGAAACCCTAAACCCTGCAAGTTCCTGCACCTGAAGTGCTGCAGGGAATCTCCGGTGCACCAAACCCATGCCCAGGTCGAGGCTTTTGGGTTCAGGATCTTCAGGGTTTAGGGTCTTTAGGGTACGGGGTTTAGGGTCTTGGGGTTTATGTGTTCAGAAGTACACAGGACTTAGGCGCTAGAGCTCAAAACTGATCACTACAGGCAAGGAGGCCGCGCCAGCACTAGTGGACGTGTTCACGTTGCACACCTTTTGACCTGGCGCTCCCTGAAACCAAGCACCGAGACTCTGAGGCCCTAAAACCCCTAAACCCTTACCCCTAAACCCTAAACCCTAAACCCTAAACCCTAAACCCTAAACCCTAAACCTAAGCCTAAGCCTAAGCCCTAAACCCTAAAACCGAAACCCCAAAGTTCCCCAGCAAAACCCAAAGAGCGGCGGCCTTCCTAGCCAAAAGCCCTAAGCCTTCCAAGCTTTCAAACCCTAAACCCTAAACCCTAAACCCTAAACCCTAAACCCTAAACCCTAAACCCTAAACCCCCAAGCCTCAAAGCCCAAGAGCCCTGGGCCTGAAAACGCAAAACCCGCGAAGCCCAAGACCCCAAAACCCCTAGACCTAAACCCGTGAACCCTAGAGCCCTAAACCTTCCTAAACCTCCCTAAACCCCCGAAAACCTAAACCCCTAAACCCAAATCCTAAACCCCCCTAAGACCCCAAAACCCTAAACCCTAAACCCCAAAACCCCAAACCCTAAACCCTAAACCCTAAACCCTAAACCCTAAACCCTAAACCCTACACCGCTGCCTGAAGCCGGCACGGTACTCGCCGAGCCCCGACTTGGCCGAGCCTGCAGATTGTCACTTTACGGTTGAAGGGTCTAGGGTTTAGGGTTTAGGGTTTAGGGTTTAGGGTTTAGGGTTTAGGGTTTAGGGTTTAGGGTTTAGGGTTTAGGGTTTAGGGTTTAGGGTTTAGGGTTAGGGTTTAGGGTTTAGGGTTTAGGGTTTAGGGTTTAGGGTTTAGGGTTTAGGGTTTAGGGTTTAGGGTTTAGGGTTTAGGGTTTAGGGTTTAGGGTTTAGGGTTTAGGGTTTAGGGTTTAGGGTTTAGGTGTAGGGTTTAGGGTTTAGGGTTTAGGGTTTAGGGTTTAGGGTTTAGGGTTTAGGGTTTAGGGTTTAGGGTTTAGGGTTTAGGGTTTAGGGTTTAGGGTTTAGGGTTTAGGGTGGCTTAGGGTGGTTGGGGTTTCGGGTCTAGGGGGTTAGGGTTTAGAGGTTAGGATTTAGGGACTTAGGGTGTACTTGATTATGGCCAGCGGCTGAGCTCACTTTCGGGGCTTATGTTGTAGGAGTAAGACAAGTTGAGCTGCTTCCCCCATAGCTGTTGGCGAAACGAAATTTCGGGCTTAGGGGGTTATCGGTTGTAGGCTTGAGGGTGGTGGGGTTAGGGCATGAGATGTGTGTCCGTTCTGTCTCTGTCTCTGTCTCTGACTCTGTGCCTCTGTGCCTCTGTGCCTCTGTGCCTCTGTGCCTCTGTGCCTCTGTGCCTCTGTGTCTCTGTGTCTCTGTGTCTCTGTGTCTCTGTGTCTCTGTGTCTCTGTGTCTCTGTGTCTCTGTGTCTCTGTGTCTCTGCGTCTCTGCGTCTCTGCGTCTCTGCGTCTCTGCGTCTCTGCGTCTCTGTGTGCCTGTGCCTGTGCCTGTGTCTGTGTAGGTGTTTGTGTTTGTGCGCGTTTGCAGATCTGGGAACCGTTAGGGTGTTGGCTATGGTTTACGGCGTTCTGGGACATAAAGCCCAACTGCAAACCAAAAAGTCCTGGACCCTAAAGCCCAAGCCCAAACCCCAAGCCCAAGGCCCGAACCCTAAACCCTAAACCTTAAACCCTAAACCCAAAACCCAAAACCCTAAACCCGAAACCCTAAACCCTAAACTAAACCTGAAACCCTACGAAAACCTGCGCTCTGCATGGGAAGACAGCACCTCCTCCACCGAAGCTCCGCTGGCCGACATGGCAGGCCCCGAAGACGAAGAGTAGAAGCAGTGCCCACCTGGGCTCTTCAGGTTTAGGGTTTAGGGTTTAGGGTTTCGGGTTTAGGGTTTCGGGTTTAGGGCTTAGGGTTTAGGGTTCCGGGTTTAGGGTTTAGGGTTTAGGGGGGAGGGCTCAGGGCTTTCTGCCTCTTGCTCTTGGAATGAGGATATGTTCGCGCTTCACGGGTTTGAGGTCTTAGAGTTTTTTTTCATAGTTAGGTAGGGCTCTTTTGTGCGGTTAAGGTGGAATGACGCGTTTTTGAGGCTTGCGGCTTGAAGAGATTGACGCTCAAGGGTTTTCGGGCTAGGATTTGGACATGATGCGGTTCAAGCTTGAAGGCCTGGGGTCAGGTGTTTGTACTTGTGGGCATGACAACAGATTGCTGTGCGGCAGTATTCCTTGGTGTGATTCTTTCAGAGTTCAAGAACTTGACATTCAGAATGCACGAGAGGCTCACGAAGAGCTGTGAAACTCAGAGGGCTTAGTTTCTTCCGAACCTCGGAAGCTCGAGAAACTGAAGCTTTTTGGCTGCGAGAGCCTGGGGGGCCGCGAGGGCTGGAGGCCGCCAGGGCTTGGAGGCCGCGAAGGCCTGGGAGGCGCGAGGGCCTGGGAGGCGCGAGGGCCTGGAGCCGCGAGGGCTGTCCCACATGGCCGCGAGGGAGCCGTAGGGTTGTCCCGGTCGTGACTGGGCTTGCTCGAGGCAAGCCCTCTAGCGCTGACTTCTGCCGCTACCTTGCTGGCGACCCGTGCGAAGTTCAGGCCCGAGACTCTCGGAAGACCCTGCGTGGAGAAGTTCAAGAGGCTCTTCGTCCTCGCTGTCTGGCCTCAGCTGCGGGCCCAGTGCAGGAAGAACTGGAGAAGATGGGCTTGGATTCAGATGACCTTTGTCCTCCATTTCACTGACCTCGATCTTCCAGCTGATTTCCAAGACTGGATTCTGGTGCAAGGAAAGGTCATCTGAATCCAAGCCCATCTTCTCCAGTTCTTCCTGCACACGGGCCCGCAGCTGACCCCAGACAGCGCGGACGTAGAGCCTCTTGAACTTCTCCACGCAGAGTCTTCCGAGAGTCCCGGGCCTGAACTCCCAAAGAAACTCTCCAAGATCCACCTCAATGCTTTCGAGGCCAACATTTGCAGCCTCCAAGCAACTCTCATGGATACGCGACAACATTGGTTCCAGTTGCCGTGTCCACGCCTGCCGCGCAGCCAGCGCGGATCTCTGAAGCTCTGCTCGAAAGCTCTCACCCGAGACTGCTGACATGGTGTCAGTCATCGAAGTAAGGTCGGAAGGGAGGTCGGAGATGGTCCAAACGTCTCCCCACCCTGGGCGCCGGCCACAGTGTGGGCAAGCGGAGTGCCAGCAAAGCTGGCAAAGGGCGTAAGGCCCTCCTCGGTCGCAAGACCGGCAACGCCAGCGAAGTGTGGCGTCCCTAGTGCACCTGAAGCACTGCTCGTAGCCCACCACCGTTGTCTGTGAGGAATCGTCAGACATCCAGCGGCTGCTACATACTCACGTCTTAATCGTGGATGTCTGTCGAAACTACTTCGCTGTTCTTCTGTTTTTGCTTTCGGAAGAACAAAAGATGTGTAGGAAAGGGACTCAAGTTCCAATGGCTCGATATTGGACGATGAGGAGCCCGTACAAAAGGTTGATATTGAAAGTTAAGCGCATTCCCATAGAAACATTCAGTTCCTCAGCAGCATTCAGTTCCTCAGCAGCTGTAGCCACCAGAAAGCCGACTAATGAATCTTTCTTGGAAAGGAAGCCAAATACTACATCTGCTGCAACTCTCCATCTCTAGTCTGCTTGCTTATTGAATAGCTGCTTGTTGCAATCTTGAGCGAAGACAGCAGCAAGACTCAGCGCAAGACCTTCTCTCGGCCCACTGCTTAGCTCTTTGCTGGACTCGCACACAGGCTCTTGGTAGCTCTTGGTAGCCCAGTAACCATACTATGATAAGGGCACTCTTTGTTGGGTTGGTAAGGGAAACCATAAACAAAAAAAGGGTAAACGGTACCACTGGGCTACCAAGGGCTACTTCATGCAGAGATGCCAGGAGCCGGGCTTGAGAAGGTTGCGCCAGCCGACGCCCGAGGGGCAGGGCACCTGCAGCGAGGGCGGGTTTAGGGTTTAGGGATTAGGGTTTAGGGTTTAGGGTTTAGGGTTTAGGGTTTAGGGTTTACAGCTGTGCTCGAAAGTTGTTGGGGCGGTCCTTCCATCTGAAATCATTGCACGCGCACTTGTCTTGCATCATAACGGTCTGTGAAGAAACGGTGAGAACATGTCCAACGTTCGCTTGCAGGCCTGTGGAACTCACAAAGAAACCGCCAAGTCTACAAACTTTGAAGCATGCATTGGCGTGCAAAAAACCATCCTTTCATATAGTCAAGGGATGTGCAAGTTAAGCCAGAGTACCAGATTACTTTTAAGGGCAGTTTACATCTACTTCTAACTGGGGGGGGGCTGCTCCTACAGAAGAAACCTCCCCCACAGTCCGCCTCGATGGTAGGGGGCGTCCAACCGCCTTCACACTTGTTGCCCGGGACCTCCACAGGACATCAACCCTAAACCCCAAACCACCCAAAACCCTAAAGCCTGAAATCGCAACCTAAGACCATATGTACAGCCGAGACTCTAAACCCAACACCTTCACATCCCAAACCCGAAGCCCCAGACCCGAAACCAACCTTGAACCCAAACCCTGAACCCTAAACCCTACCTCGATCTCCCGTTGACCCTAAACATTCGGACCTGTCCGAAAACTTGTGGAAACCCAGGATTCAGACCAGGCCGATAAACCGGACTTTAGACTGAATGTGTGCTGGAACGAAACCCTAAACCCTAAACCCTAAGCCCGAAACCCTACCCTCAAACCCCCAAACCGGGACATCCACACAGGTCCGGAGCTCTTTCAGGACAGGAGCCTATGGGAAGCCCAATTTGAACACCCACTTTGGTTGAGCACCCCATCTCGCTGTCCCTAGAACTGCTTCTGAAATCCCAAATCAGGGTGTAGGGCTTAGGGACAACAATAACCAGCTGGACTTCCTATGCCAGGAAAGACGCATGGCGATGATGTCGGACTGCCTGGATTTTAAAAACAGGATCCGCGATGGCCCCAAAGCCTGCTGCAAAGCAAGCCTGCGACTGAAATTTGCCTAATGTCTTACAGTAGCTGCATACTAAACCCCCTAACCAAAGCTGTCAGCAAGTAGGTCAGGTAAGGAGCGTCCAAAGGGTTTAGGGTTTAGGGTTAGGGGGGTAGGGGGTTTAGGGTTTGGGGTTGAGCTCTGATGGGGGCGAGGGTTCGGGTGCAGACTTCCTTGGATTATGTTAAAAACCAAATCCTCAGGCCCAACCGCAAACCCTTTGCTTATAAGACGACCGCCTCCTCGAAAAAAGGACGCCCAAATTAGACCAAGTAGAGCAACCTCCGATTGATAAAACGACCCACAAAAACCACACAAAAGTGCCCTAAACACTAAGCCGGAAACCCTAAATCTTAAACCGTATAAAACCCTCTAAACCTTGTAAACCCTATAAACCCTATAAACCCTCTAAACCCTCTAAACCCTCTAAACCCTCTAAACCCTCCAAACCCTATAAAACCTATAAACCCTCTAAACCCTCTAAACCCTATAAACCCTACAAGCCCTATAAACCCTATAAACCCTATAAACCCTACAAGCCCTCTAAATCCTATAAACCCTCTAAACCCTATAAACCCTAGAAGCCCTCTAAACCCTATAAACCCTATAAGCCCTATAAACCCAAAAGCTCCACACATGCAGACTTGGACTTTGAGCTTTGCTAGCCTTGCGGTAAGCCTGCGCGCCGTACCTTGGGGAGTTGGACTTGGGGCTTTCTCTATATGGGGTTTAGGGGGTTTAAGGGGTTTAGGGGGTTTAGGGTGGTTTAGGGGATTTAGGGGGTTTAGGGGGTTTAGGGTGGTTTAGGGGATTTAGGGGGTTTAGGGGGTTTGGGGAGTTTAGGGGGTTTAGGGGGGTTTAGGGGGTTTAGGGGGGTTTAGGAGGGTTTAGGGGATTTAGGGGGTTTAGGGGGTTTAGGGCGTTTAGGGGGTCTAGGGGGTTTAGGGGGTTTAGGGGTTCAGGGGGTTCAGGGGGTTTAGGGGGTTTAGCGGTCAGAGTTTACAGTTCAGGGGTTCAAGGTTTAAGGAGGTTTTGGCATCCATGGGATTTAGGATTTCGAGTTTGAGTTGGCAGGGGAGGGGAGAGCTTTAGAGCAAAGAGAGCGTAAGGGGGTTTAAGGCTTCGGGCTTAGGGCAACCCCTAGAAACCCTATAAACCCTAAACTCTAAACCCCAAAAACCCAAACTCTAAACTCTTACTCGGCTCTCTTGAGCTAACATGAAGGGAAGGGACTTGTCTGCAGGCGAGCCGCGTGCCCTGGCAAACCGTTGGGGCGAACCTGGCGGCGCAAGGCACCCAACGATTTCAATACCCCTGAATTCGGGAACCTTCCTCCAACCCTAAACCCTAAACCCTAAGCCCTAAACCCTAAAGCCTAAAGCCTAATATATGACTGAAGGAATATTCCTTCACAGCCGTATTGGAACCTCTGGGCTAGCGACCGGGCGTTGAGAGTCGAGGGGCTAAAGATCTAAGATTTGGGGTTACTGGGTCTAGGGTTCAGGGATACGAGTCCAGGGTGTAGGGCCCAGGGTTTTTTTGTTCTGCGGAGGGTTGGTTTGCGGGTGGAGGGCTGGGCTTGGGGCTACGAAGTTTGGGTTTTGGAGAGTGCGCTTGGATTTTGGTTCAGCCACCACCCCTAAACCCTAAACCCTAAACCCTGAACCCTAAACCCTAAACCCCAACCTAAACCCTGTACCCTAAACCCTAAACCCCAAACCCTAAACCCTAAACCCTACGGAGGCACTGCGCACGGCGCCTTTTCTCAGGGCGCACCTGCAAGAGTCGGCGTGAGAGGCCGCATCTTGGGCTGCGGCCCTTGGCTGTTGGCAGCCCGTCCTGGTGGCAATAGGGTTTAGGGTGTAGGGTTTCGGGTTTAGGGATTAGGGTTTAGGGATTAGGGTTTAGGGTTTAGGGTTTAGGGTTTCGGGTTTCGGGTTTAGGGTTAGGGTTTAAGCAAGCTTGGGATTTGGGATTGGGAGGGTGTCCCTTCTGGCTACTCTGCGTAGAAGGATGAGCGTTTCTTTAGCAGGTGCCCATAAGAGAACCTATGATTTGGTACATATTGAGGGCCCGGCATGCGAACCATTCACATCCTGTAAATCTAGAGGCTAGATTGGCTTTAAAACCTAAGTGCAAATGCAAAACATCCGACAGGTCTACCTGGAAGAGGGGCGAGCCACGTTGATCAAGTTGCGCGTATGAAAGCTACATAAACCCAAAACCCCATACCTCAAACCCCAAACGCTAAACCCTCCACCCCACACCCTAGGGTTTGGGGCTTAGGGAGTTCCCTTAAGAACGCTCAAACCCAGACAAAGGAAGCCTCAAGGAAATGTTGAGGAATATACGAACAGGCTTGAAAAAAGGGGGCATCCTTACCGCAACTAACCGGGCAAACGGGACGAAGGGCACAGCCGGGCATCCTAAACCCTTAACCCTCAGGTTCTTGAATTCGTTGGGCCTCAGGGGCGAAAAAATCCTAAACCCTACGCCCTTCAGCCCTTCAACCCTTTTTAACCCTTCAGCCCTTTAAGCCTTAAACCCTTAAGCCTTTCAACCCTTAAACCCTAGACCCTAACACCCTTAAACCCTAAACCCTAAAACCCTTACACCCAAAACCCTAAAACCCTAAATCCTTCAACCCTTGAACCCTAAGACCCTTAAACCCTAAACCCTTCAACCCTTTTACCCTAAACGAAAGCCCTTAAACCCTAAACCCTTCAACCCTTATGCCCTAAACTCTGAAACCCTTAAACCCTAAACCCTCCAGTCCTTAAACCCAAAACCCTCAAACCCCCAAACCCCCAAACCCTTGAACCCTTAAACCCTTAAACCCTTAAACCCTTAAACCCTTAAACCCTTACACCCAAAACCCTTAAACCCTTAAACCCTTAAACCCTTCAACCCTTAAACCCTTATATCCTTAAACCCTTAAACCCTTAAACCCTTAAACCCTTCAACCCTTCAACCCTTAAACCCTTCAACCCTTAAACCCTTAAACCCTTAAACCCTTAAACCCTTCAACCCTTCAACCCTTCAACCCTTAAACCCTTAAACCCTTAAACCCTTAAACCCTTAAACCCTTAAACCCTTAAACCCTTCAACCCTTAAACCCTTAAACCCTTAAACCCCTAAACCCTAAACCCTAAACCCTAAACCCTTAAACCCCTAAACCCTAAACCCCTGTCGAGTCCTCAGCTTTCGAGGTCGGGCCGCCCGGTTCGCGCCGAGGGCGGCTTCGCGAGCACTTTGGCCTTCGGACTTGGGGGTTTGGGGGTTAGGGTTTGGGGTTTAGGGGTTTAGGGTTTAGGGTTTAGGGTTCAGGGTTTAGCTTTTAGG